ACCCCTTCCTTACCAACCCAGAAGGGAGGAGTTGAGGATTGAATTCGGAGGGGAAGCTGAGAACCTCAAATACTTCCTAACCATGGTAAGGGGGTATCTAGAGGACAACGCTCTCACCTTCGGGTCGGAGGCAAGCAGAGTGCGGGCAGTGGGCGCAGCACTGAGGAAAGGAGCAGCGGAGTGGTATGTCCAGCTCCACGCCAGGCATGACCCATGTTTGGGATCCACGAGGCGATTCCTGGCTGCGATGGAGGCACGCTTCAGGGACCCGCTTGAGAGGATCCGGGCGAGAGAAAGGCTGCAGACGATAACCCAAGGCCATCGCTCTGTGTCCGAGTACGTGGAAGAGTTCCGGTTGAGGGCGGAGAAAGTGCCAGAGTGGTCTGATGCCACCAAGGTCCAGATATTCAAGGAGGGCCTGCGGAAGGAAATTTTGACCTGGGCACTTCATCGCGACGATCCGGAGGAGATAGGCGGATGGATTGAGCTGGCTGGCCGCGTCGAGACGACCTTGGCTCAGATCGAGAGGCATCAAGGGACGGCGCTGCAGCAGGCGAGGCCCAAGGAGGAGAATCGGAGGACGGAGAGAAGCACGATCGGAAAGGGGGCCGCCGGAGGATCCAAGGAGCAGAAGGGAGGCTGTTTTGTATGCGGCCGCTTTGGCCATCGGGCAGCCGGGTGTCGACAAAGGAAAGGGGGGGATCCCCCGCACCCAAAGTTTAAACCGGCCGCAGGGAAGAGAGCGGAAGAGAGCCTCCCTCATAGGGCCCCAGAGAGAGATATGGTGAGTCACAGCCCAGGAATGTTGATGTTCCCGATCAGGCTAGAAGGGGAGGGGAAGTGGGCCAGCTGCAAAGCCCTCATGGATTGCGGCTGTTCAAGGAACATTATAACCCCAGAACTGGCAGACGAACTGAACTGTGAGAAGACCGTCTTGCCAGCCCCTATAGCATTTTCGCAGCTGGATGGCTCAGTAGCGGCCGGAGCCCCGGCGCAATTCGAAGTGGGAGAGGTGAAATGCAAAGTAGGGGACTGGGAAGGCGGCATCACCTTTGTGGTATCCCCTATAGCAACTTACAATGTGATACTGGGGATGCCGTGGTTAAAGGAAGCAAACCCACAAATCAATTGGAGAAAGGGCAGCATAAGCTTCCAAAGCAAGGAGGAGGGGAAATGTTGTAAGGGGGAGGAAGGCACGGCAGGCGGAGTGCAGGAGATCCCACCCGAGTATAGAGACTTTGAGGATGTATTTGACGAAAAGGAGGCGGATCAGCTTCCTCCCCCAAGACGGGTTGAAGTGAAAATAGAACTCAATGAGGATGCTAAATTACCCAGGAGTAGATTGTATCCCATGTCGGCTAAGGAGATGGAAACTGAGGAAATATATTGATAAAAACTTAGCACGAGGATTTATAACACCCTCCGAATCCCCGCTGGGGGCCCCAGTGCTGTTCAGGCACAAGAAGGACGGCTCATTGAGGTTGTGCGTGGACTATAGGGGACTGAATGCAATGAGCACGACCAACAAGTACCCAATGCCGCTAACCAAGGACTTACTGTCGAGACTATCGGAAGCAAGGGTGTTCACGAAAATTGACTTGATTGAAGCCTATCATAAGTTGCAGATACGGCCAGAGGACAGGTGGAAAACGGCTTTTACCTGTGCGCTCGGGCACTACGAATATTCCGTCTGTCCTTTTGGGCTAAAAGGCTCTGGATCAGCATTTATGCAAATGATTAATGAGGTGTTGCACCCATTGCTGTATCGCGGGGTGTATTGTTTTGTAGATGACGTAATTATTTTTAGCCGTGATAAGCGATCTCATGTCCGGTTGGTGAGGGAGGTACTCCAGAAGTTGAGGGAAGCAAAGCTGTTTGCTAAGTTACCGAAATGCGAATTCAATAAGGAACAAATAGATTTCTTGGGATACCGAATCTCCAAGGGTGGGATAGCAATGGATCCCTCAAAGGTAGAGGATGTCAAGGGGTGGGGACCCCCCCAAACACGCAAGCAATTGCAATCGTTCCTGGGATTTGCCAATTTTTATCGGGGGTTCATAGAGGACTTTGCCCAGGTGACTCTGCCCCTAACCGAACTGCTGAAAACAAAGGGAAAGGGGGAGACAGTAAAGATACGGTCCCCAGGGGCAAAACTAAATTGGTCAACAGAGTGCCAAAGGGCGTTTGAAGAACTGAAACGCAGATTCACTGAGGAACCAATCCTAATCCACCCCGATTTAACCAAGCCGTTCGTGATCCACTGTGACACATCGGATTGGGCTTATGGGGCAGCATTGATGCAAAGGGATCCGGAAGGGAGGTTGAAACCCAAGGCTGAACAGGGTATAGGGTTACAGCCTGTGGTGGACGGGGTCGCACTCCCCTTGAAGGCACAGGTTTGCAGCTTGGGTGTGACCCTGGATTCATCATTGAGCC